CCAGCTTTGACTAGCCTGGGTGATTAGCCAAGGGGTGGTAAGCCTGGATGAGCAGCAGTACTGTCAGGCTAAGGTCCATATTCTAAACTGTGGTCTGACAGAGAGGAGGAAGTAGACCTGAGGGTATCAGCACTGGCCTGCTCTTGGCCTGTCAGTGGTACCTTATTGACTTTTGTCTAATAGTGCTACTACTCTGCACCTGTCTAGTGACATTTAGCAAGGATGCCAATACTTTAAATAACAAGCACCGAATGTTATTACTTGAGAAATACTCTGCACTAAGGTAAAAGGACAAAGGCAGTTTGACTTGTAGCATGCCATTTTTTTATGTGGATCCAGGTTTTCCTATTTAATAGATATATTGCCAAATGTTGGACATTTATTTCAGATCTCTGTAGGAGGATCTCAAGCATTTGTTCTTTGAAGGCCATTGCATTGTCAAAGAGCAATTACTTGAGACTTGCATCCAAATAGAGTTCATTCCTGTCAAAGACTGTATGCAGTCCAAATACCGTGACCTATGTGGTGCCAGGTCAGTTTGTTATAAAAGGTAAGTACCCAAGTCAATCATGCATAGATAAAGAAATGACCTTTTTTTTTCCCTTGTGCTGGATATGAGAAATTGATATAGATCTTAATTTTTAGTAGAGTAATTCATTTAAAATTCTAAACTAGTATTAAAAGCAACAAGATGTCTGAATGACTTGCACTGAAAGCTGAAATCAGGACAGGTGATGGAAATGCATAGTTCTTCTAGCTAAAAATAGAGGTTCACAGATAAGAATTCATGGCACAACATATACTATTAGAAATTGCAGTTGCAGGCTCCCTCACTGATTTTATTATGATTGAATGGGTAGAATAGGTGACCTGTCCTCTCACTTCTGCAATAGCACCACCATGCCAAGGACTTATTGGTAGACCACTATGGGGAGCCTTACCCTGCTATTTCATGATGACCATGTCTTGAATTCGGTGAAGTTACATCTCATTTCTACTCTTGATGAGATTCAAGCCAATCTGTGATCACCGAGCTTCGTATATGGTGTATTCTATACAGTTTGTAACCAGTATTTTAGATGAATCTAAGAAAATCTAGTATTCAGTTCTTTTGCTTTCAAAGAGCCTGGGTGGAAAAAAACATTTAAAAAGGAATTCTAAATGTATGGGATCAGATTCTCGACTGCACCCAGTATCAGGTGCACCTAGCGGTGAGCATAAAAAGGGAAGGCAAAAAGACACAGCTGCAGGCATGCCAGCTTGAGTGTAGAGTAGCCAGTTTTTGGGCTGCTCTGAATGACGTTGGCAGGCCCTTCTGTGGCCTTTTTGCTACCAAAGAAAATCTTTCTCTACGTATTCCTACTACTATGCTACTTGGGGGGGAAAAGTACAGTAGCAGAGATCCACAGTATACATACATCTCAAATGATATGCTTAATTATCTAATACATCTCTGGGGAGAACATGGGCCAACATAGCTACCATTTGGGTTTTTTTTAAATATAAATAAAGCTTTATTGTTTGTAAAAGGCAAAGAACATTATTTTTCCTGTCATAAGTTATGAACGTTTACATTTCTTATGTGGTATCTGTGATATAGATGTTTTTCTCATGTTTAGGTGTACAGATGGATTTTAGTTGCCCATGGACTGGCTTTGCAGTTGGATTGCTTAAGGGCAATTTGGACTTTATTGCCCATAGAAATTATAAGGAATAATTTCTTCAGAATTCTATTTGAGTCTGAGAAATTTATTCATTCGAAGAAAGCAGATACTTTGCAGATAACAGTGGTTTGAACATGATGGAGTATGCAAACTTTTACAGTGTGTTACCATAGGAGCAATGAATCTCAAACCCTTATCAGAATAATAGCAAGCATACTGTAATACTAAACCTTCCAATAGAAAGAAGTGCAAATGAATGTTATCGTGTCTGTGCGACACGAGATCTATTCTCTGTTTTATTTTCTAGTCCTCTAATAAAGCCCATTGGTCATAGTGTTATATTTGTCTTTGGATGCTAGCAGACAGGTTTTTCCTAAATAGCAACAACCTTCAATTGTCTTACTCAGTGATTGGTTTTTGGCTTAGATTTCCAGGTGACCACATAGCAAGCTGGAATGAAAGTATTTCTTTAAGTTGCTGTTGTCTTTGTTGTTGCTATCATTATTACTATTATTTTACTTTATTAGAGGATCTTTTTTTCTTTTTTTAAAGGCTTTTTACAAGTTAAGAAAATTACAGCTCAATATATATAAGTATGTAAAGAGGTAGGAGTATATTTTTGGTATGGCAGTGTAATATCTAGTTTGGTGTCTGAGCAGTTCATCAAAGAGTATTATTTCTTCTTGTCTATTGTGCTGTTAGGTACACAAACACTTACAGTAGGAGTTATTTATGATACAGGCAGGGGTGTGTTTGGTTGGGGAAGTCATTCTTTCCAGGTATTGTTAGGTAGATGGCAGGATCATGTCCTGTCTGCTTGGGTGCAGTATTGTAGTTTTAACAGTGAGTTTTCACCATTTATCCTACGTTATTTTATAGCATAAGGATATTATTGTTTAGAGCCCAGTGATCTTTCAAGAGGTTTTTGCACTGTCAGATGCTATCTACAGTTTGTTATAATCCTTTAATTTCTTGTCTTTTCTGTTGTCATACTTAGTTCTGGGTTCCTTTTTGTCAGCATTGCACAGTTGTGCAGTTTCTTCCAGCTGTTGTTAATATTTTGAACATGTAACATTCTTTGAAGGTGTGTACATTAGACCAAAGCAGTTCGAGATTTTTATTGAAATGTATGTCAAAGAATTTCTGTGAGCTTTCATGCATGATCAGAATGTTTGGGAAGGTAGGTAGCTCCAGATGATGTGTTTTGTGTGGTTAGTATGTCAATTCCTGGGTGTAGAAAAAGAATTCGATAAATTTCCATTGGAAGTCTCTCTGAAACGTATTTAAAAAAGTATGTGTAAAAAGCATATCAGAGGTTGGTTATTGTTCCCTGCTTCCTTTTTTTTTTTTTCTCGTGTATGTAGTGACTTAACAATTTTAGCATCATTAAGAGCTACATCAAGTTTGGCAATTAGTTCTCTGGACCTATGCGTTTCAGCCTTGTGGATGAATCTTCAAGACTAGATAATAGTGCATGTCTCGGAATACATTTGAACTTTTGGCACTGCCCATCACAACCTTGGAGTGCCTGCTCCAGGAAGGAGATACAAAATGACCTGGTTAGGTGCCTAATACCCCCACAGTTAACGGAGAGACTTCAGAGGTGCCTAAAAATGATTAAAGTGTATGAGTCTCTCTAGAGGGGAGAATGTGGAGCAGTACTCACTCCAGAAGGCAAGTCCAAAAGTATGGAGGCACTTAGGAGTAGTCAGTGAGAAACATGAAAGTTTAAGTATTATGCATCCTTGTTCACTAGTAATTTCCAGTGTTTAGCAGTAGTGTGTTGGAGAATGCTGCCTACTGATTTTCCAAAGGTAGGCAAATCAGTAATAGTGATGGTGGTGCTGCTGCCTGCTCACCTTCTGCTCAGTAGGCTAGTGGTTACAGCATTCATCCAGGAAATGTGGGTGGGGCTGTGTTCTTGGCTCTCCTTGCCCTGTGAGGATTTAAACATACATCTACCACATACCATGAGAGTGTCCTCAACCCCAGGCTAGCATATAAGATGAAGATAATCACCCCTGCCCCCATTCCTATGGTGAAGCTTGGCCACTGAGCAGACAACAGTCTTAGAGCCAGGAGACCCATCCAGGTAGGGCCTGTTTCTGTAGTTAGAGGATTCCCTTGGGAGAGTGAAGGCCTGGGCTCTGATCTTTGCTATCAGGCTTCTTTCTGTTTTCAGGTAATGACTGTCTAATGTAAAATGCCTTAACAGTGCTGAGAGCAAGCAGGAGGGAGTTGGCTTAGTGGTTAGAGCACACCCTGGAGATGGGAGTCCTGGGCTTTTGTTCCTACTTCCCTACTGTTTATGCATCTTGCATTATGCAGTCATTAGTTAAAAACAGAAATAAGTCGAGAAGCAGACACTAGAACTGAGGACTTCTTCATTTCAGGAGACTCCTTTAACCATTAGGTTTCAGAACTGGGGATACCTGTTACTTGTTTTCCTTCTCACTCCATGACTCTTGCATTCGTTTCTGCTTGGTGCTCTGGCTTTTATTGGAGATATGAGGGCTTCCTAACTATCTTATTCTTATAGCTCACAGATTACGGTAGTCTCTTGGGAAGTTAAAAACTTGTCAAGGTGCGAGGGGTGTAGGACCCACATCCTGAGCAAATGTGTTTAAATGCTATGTCATTGGGTAGAAGGTGGGCAGTCTGGCTTTGAACTGAATTCAGTGCTGTCGATGTGAGTTAACTGTGTGTTTCTGGCCCTTCCCAGGGACTCAACCAGAGCTTGACTGCCTCATGGGGCCAATTTGAATGGCTCTGGAGGTTGGGGACAGTTGCTGAAGCGAGTGCAGATGGTTGCTTCTGCGCAGGCGTGAACTCCCAAATGTGGTTTCCTGGGGATGCTGGCAGTCCCAAAAGGAGATATGTACTGGATTTAGGCATGTAATGAGATTTTAGGAGGCTGGCTCCTGGCCAGTGTGAATCTCTATCTAGGACTTTAGACACCTAGTCCCTGCCTGAGTTTCAGCTAAGTTCCTACTGAAACATTTTGATCCCACTGGGTCTTTTAGATCTTTATGAGGTTGTAACTGGTTGAATTTGTAGATACTGGAATTCACGCGTTTGTTGAATTAAAATGAAAAAAAAAGTTTTAAATGCTGGAGTAGACCTCTTGTTTTCACATGGTTATGCATCTTTTCTATATAAACATGTATTGAAAAATCCCAGTATGCTCTCTATGCTGATTTAAAATATTAAATTAAAATTTACTTGACAAATAATATCTATGCCCAAACAGTGGGGGACAAGTTGCTGTTATGGTAGGCCAAGTATAGATTTGTTTCTTATATTTTCAGTTGCTGATCATAAAGATTTAATTTTCAGGTCCTCAGCAGAGGAGAGAAGATGGAGGATAGCTCATGGAAACAGGTGAGAAACTGTTGGACTAACCTGTTCTCCATTGTGTCCTGAATGCACTGTATCATAAATGCTGGGGTTAGGCCATTTTCAGGCCATGCTAATCCTCCTTAAGAAGATTTTTCTGAGGTTCAAAACAGCCAATAATATATTAACAAAATAACAATAAACAAATCAACAACTATATACAACGAGCTACAATACAAAAGGTGCCCATACACGAGCAGGGAGGCTGTTCCGACGTGCTGTAATTACAGTGCGTTGGAGCAAACTCAATTAATTGAGTCTGTTAGAGCGTGGCAATTACTGCACTCCAGCAGCTTCCAGCATCTCGTGTATCAGCGTTCCTGTACTTCAAAATGCGGCAAGGGCACTTTATCAAAAGCTCATTCAATAAGCTTTAGATAAAGTGCCCCTGCCACCATTTTGAATCACTGGGATGCTAATACATGAGATGCTCTGGGCACTTTAATTAGAGTGGCTCTTGGAGCTGCTCTAATTAAAAGCATCCCACCCCCTTCTCCTGGAGCACATATATACACACACCCAAAGTGCACCAACAAGCAAGGACCCAATACTATACCATATGCAAATAGGTGGCAATAGAGAGCATATGCACTTTCTCTATGCATCTGCGGTAGCAGTACTACAGACACCACCCTGGCACAAACCATCTCAGACACAAAGGAGAGGAGATATTGGCCACTCACTCAGCCCTTCCTTGCTCTCAATTATTTGGTCCAAACAACCTGCCACACACGAGCAAACTTACAAGGACACACCATCAGGGACAAGATGAGAGGCCAGGTGCTTTCTGAACTCTCCTTTAAAGATGACAACCAGACCACACACTGCAACGTTCACTCTGCAGGGACCGTGCTGGCTCGAGCACACACTCAAGCACCCCACTTGAGCGTACTTGCCATCCCATTCAATTCCACTTGAGCCCCTAGCTCGCAGAGTCAGGACTCTTTTATACAGACAGATCACCCCACATCTGTCAATCACCGACCATCCAGTCATACCCTTGTGTGCACACTACTATTCCATTGCAGATGGCACTTCACACCGCACACAGCACTCGATCCACCAATCTCACAAACATGCTCGCTTGTCCCTTATGCTCTTCCCACCAGAGAGCGGGTTCTTATTGAGCATGCTTACAAGTCAATCTCTGGGCAGATGCTAGCAAGGGCAATAAGTTCAGGGCTTTCTAACAAGTTTTGACCCAAGATAACTAAAACCTAAAACATGGTCCCTACATCAGGAATGAGCAACCACAATTTTGTTGCTATAAGAATGCCATGCACATAATACTTCCATATGTCTGGAAACAATTTCACTTTATGTACAATGCTCATCCATATTTCCATTTAAATGTGACAGATAAAGTCTCTTTAATTGTTTCTCATTTCTTCATATCTTAAATTCAGTTTCTTACAAAATTTGTCTCTGGAGCCAAGTTAAGACATTCCTTATTATATGATGCTGGATACACTTAAACTTCATTAAAAATCATGCTCTGCCTATCATATACAGAATGAAACTGATGCTACTCTTGCTATAATCCACAGGATGAAATTATCAAAATATAAGGATGCACTTGCTGAGGTTTTGAATTAACTTTGTACTCTCATTATGTGAAACTTGCAAATAAAACAAAACATTTGATATACATCTTGAATATCTGGAGCAGCATCTTTTTAAAGTTAAATTTTGTATGGCATTGTTTGGTAGTTAGTATCTTGGTAACATAATTAGCACAACAAGCCATACAAAACAGTTACTCTTCTGAGTGTTGCTAATCAAACTAGTACCAGGAGGAATCAAGTGGAATTGACCAGACAACCTGTGAAAACATAAGCAGTGTCTGTGGGTTTAAACCACATGCACATACCACTAATTGGAATTATGGGTTTTAGAAATCTAATCAGAAGCAGCATATGGCAGTGTATATATCTTAATTTTTTTATAATTCCATGTGCTTTACTTATGGACTGATTCAAAGCCCACTAAAAGACTCGCTTTCAATCAGACCCATGGAGGTTATAGGTTTTGTACTGCGATTGATACGAAGTCAACACATCAGTCGTTTTTGAGCAAATAACAAGGCTGCCTCTTTTTTTCAAATAAGATGACTTCAGTTCCATTTTGGGGTCAAATTGCATTTTTAGAAAGGTGAAACTCCAAATTGCTACATTGCCTTTACATTGCAGTAATGACTTCCCTGAATGTTCAAAAATTGTGAATCAGGGTCACAAAAATGACATTGGATTAAAACTCAAGAGGTTAAAAAAATAGTGTCTGTGAACTTGCCTTTCTGGTTCTCATTTTAAGGCTTCTTTTCTGCAGCTCTAAGAAACATACCAAATATCGTGATGTGGTAAAATAGTGAGTATTAGCAAATCTATGTCAGTGACTGATATTAACCTCAGTTGTAGCTTTGCTTGAATGAAGTCTGTCAGATGGGTCCAGTTATCTGTGTCTGTAAACAGGTAATTAAATAGTGGAAAGGTGGAACCTAGTGATTTGAATAGGTCTAGTTCTTTTATCCAGACCAGAGCTGCATAATAAGCTTTCCCAAAGCAATTAGGTTCCTGCCATGGGAGGATCTTTTTATACCCAATTCTGCTGTTTTTTCTTTAAGTTTTGCTAGAGGAGTGGGGCTGGGGTGGGGAAAACTCATGCCTAAGAATGTTTTATGTGAAAAAAGTGAGATAGCAGATCAGCTTTGTTTCTACAGCCAGCCGATTCTTTTAGAAGAATCTGAGAGAAATGGCTACATTCCTTCTGTCTCTTCCTCATATCGGACACTGTCTACGTAACATGAGTGATGAGTGAGATGATGGTGCCTTTTTAGCTATGTATTAATAGGCAGTATCAGAGGGCCACATATTTAACTAACATAAATGAAAATAGTCCCTCTAAATTTAATGAAGCTAAATGGATTAGTATAGCTGAGCATCTGGCTCAGAGAGAATTTTTTATACTGCCTACCGCTGTGGTTTTGTGCCACTGCCCACAACATCTGAGGAGATTATGAATTCTATGTTGATGCTATTTCCCTTACCAAGGGATTAGCTAGACTACTGTATAAGTACCCCCCATGAATGTGATGCTGGATAAGACACTGGAGCACAAAAACAGAACCTAAATTGATGAAGATCAGCATCCTTTAATTGAAGCCAGTTAAGCAGAACTAGTCTGTAATCCCTGACCCAAGAAATTTCAAAGATACATGTTGAGTGTAACAGATTTATTCCTTCCAGGACTTACATTTATGGGCCAGATTCATCCTCTGAGGCAGATGGGGTGGGGGGTAAGCTATAATCCTCCTGTACTGACAATGGCAGCTGCAGTGAAGTGGCATTTACCTTACCTTGGAAATAAGCAAGAGACATTGTTGTACCTAGGGAGGTCAGCTTTAAATACTTTGGACTTTATAGGATACTCGCTGGAAGGTTTGCTGAGTTGTGGCATATCATTTTGGCCTGATGCGCATATTTGCCCAATGTGGGCTGCACTGGTTGAGAGGAAATGAGTTTCCATGTACAGTAGACTATCCAGGGAAACAGGAGAACCCAGTGAAGTAATTCTGACCCAGAGCTGTTACATGTGTTTTAATGCAATGAATAGCTATAAACTCCCCTGGCTTTGCTTCACTTCTGTGACACTAAGAATAGGCTACTATTTGAAGACCTGGGGATAAAGAAATTATGGCCAAACATTATCATTATTTTTCACCATCCTGTCATGCAAAGCATCCACAAACCTGGTTTACTGGTAACTCAGTTATTGGTTCAGATCACAATAATGACACAAAACATGTAGGTCTCTATACCTTAAAGCGTACAAAAAGAGCTCTTATATTTATACAGGAGGTAAAAGTACATGTTTCCTGTGACTGCTTTCTCCTTTTTTAAGTGGAGGTGGCTGTTATCTTTCTAATGGGCTTTTGATCATCAGACCTTGAACATTCTTTGCTTTTATGTCACAAGCTTTGAACCTTCAGGATGCTGTGAATTAATGGGGTTTTGCTCCCTTGACCCTAGCTCTACCCTAAGGGAATGTAAATATTTGTTCTCAGTTTTCCTGGGCGCATTGATTAACAAGTAGGACATTGTGAGAAGCTGGCTAAGTCATTAGCCCATTACATGAGCTGATAAGTTTGGTATGCGACGTGTTGAAATCTTTCAAATTTCAAAGGGTTAGCCATAACGTAACATGAGTAATGAGTGAGATGTTAGTCTTTTTAGGTACGTATTAATAGACAGTATCAGAGGACCACATCTTTAACTAACATAAATGAGAATAGTCCCACTAAATTTAATGAAGCTAAATGGATTTATGTAGCTTAGCATCTGGCTCAGAGATCAGTTTTTATACTGCCTACCACTGTGCTTTTGTACATGCATGTGGGTATGTGGAGAAATCTTGCAGTTGTTCTGTTTAGTCCCTTAGACACAGACATCGTCTTTGAGTGGAAAAGGCAGCAAACCAGTTTTTAGTCATGCCATGTCTTAGCTACAGATTAACTGAATTCTATCTTCACAGCAGTCTGTGGAGGTGCTGCCAGACTTCCACACTTCGGCACTTCAGCTCAAAAATGTTTAGTAATGTTTGATGCATGCTGGAAGGAGAAGACAAGCTGAGAAGAGTGTTTCTGTTTTATTTTTAACTCTTCTCAAGCGGATAAGTCACCTTCTGTTTTAGTCCTGGTTGTTCTTCCTGATGCAGTGAATATGGAACAATCCCAGCAGTTCACTCCTCAATCCTGCTAGTGGGCTGGGCTATCCCAGAAGTCAATGAAAATAATGTTTAATCGGCTGTGCAATTTGATCAACCGCATAATCTCTAAAAAGTCTTGCATACTATGAATTTGGCAGGAGTTTAAATATGTTGCTAGACTTGGTTTCAGGTTTTACGTTTATAATGGGTGTGTCTCCTCCTTAGACGGGGAGGAGAAGGAGGAAAGTGAAGATGTAAAGCACAGTGCTCAGGTCTCTGGAAGA